ACCCTTCCACGTACATCAAAAAGTGATCAGGGAAAGGAAGAACACTTCCACGATCGAGGCTGCATCTCTGCTGGCAGACACTGGAAAAGGCTAGTGCCTCTCGCGCTTGCTGTTCACGCTCCTCCTGCAGACGAAGCGCCTGGAAGAGAGCTGCTGGAAGTATGCTTCGGGCTGCTGTTGGCCGGTTCGACTAAGGTTTCTCCACGGGTTTACATGGACTTTTGCAGGAGTCAGATTTTGTCGTTGAGGCCAAACCCTTGGCCCAAGCGCACAAGCTTTCAGCACCATGGGCCATGCTCAATTCCGATCAGCTCGCCTTCATGGCTTCAAGCTGCTCCTTCCATTGCTGTGCCTGCGGCTTGGGGTGCCTAAAGGTCATGAAGCTTTTTGCTGAGTTCTACATAGCTCTACCCGACCATAGTCAGCTTCAGCGGTCTCTCTAGTTGTAGCCATCGAACCGAGATCTTCTAAAGCACCATGTGCAAGACATCCGAATGTCTTGCAGTTCTAGCTTCACACCATGCGGCTTATGCACGCTGCGGAGCTGGTTTGCGATTCTTGCTGGGGCCTGACCGACCCCTGTTGTAAGCCGCGCTTTAACTGGGTGGGCAGATCGGAATGCTGCCGGGCCGCTATCGGCTGTTACCCTGCCCTGGGCCCGTAACCGTTATCCTTTTAAGCCTGAACCTAAACCCTAAACCCTAAACCCTAAACCATCCTAAACCCTAAGCCTAAGCCGAGCAGGTCGGCCCATGTTAGATTTACCCGGCGCCTCGGGAAACATCGACCTCGGGCCGCCACGGAGAGATTCTAGGGTGGATTTGTCGGGTTTGGGTTTAGGGTTTAGGGTTTAGGGTCTGTTTAGAGGGTGGGGAAATAGGGCAACGAGGGCAGAGCGTCCTGTGGGGTTTTGGCAACCGGGATCCCATAGTGTGCCAGTAGGTAGGATTCAACCGTGTCTCGCGCATGGGGCTACAAGTAACCACAAGGATAACACCGGCGGCCCACAAGAGCTATTGCCCACCGGAGATGGTCACGACGACGATGGTGATGGTAATGCAGAGTGGCCATCGCAACGAGGCATACCGGCAGCCCGTCCGCAAGGGGGTGTGTGACAAGTCAGGCCTATGCTTTTTGACTTGAAAATCAAGTTGCCCACAAGATAGGAACACTCACGCTCGGGACCCAGTCAAGAGTTCAACAGAGTAATAACGACATCGACTCAGTTTATGGAGCAAGCAGCACCACACCCGTCAAATTTGTGCTCGTCTATTCGATGCCTGTGGTCGAACATCACTGCTGCATATGATGTTCAGTGCATCCCGCATGTAGGAACGATTCGGGCTTCATCAGCTTAAAGATTGAGAAAAAAGAAGTCGGGTGAATGCGTGTGATCGCGCAAGTGTGTTGGCAGTCTCGTGTTGGCTATGATAGGCGTCATGAGCTTCATGGGCGCCACCTTCCTCATCGACACAACCCTTACAAATGTGATGCTCGTCGTCAGTGCAACTAGGCAATTTGCTACACATCATGACCAAAAGAAAAGTGATCTTCAGGATTCCGGATCCTCCCTGCTTTGAAATACGACCATCACGTCGCTGCCAGTACTACCACTATCATCATCAACATCATCATCATCATCATCGTCATCATCCTTATCATCATCGGCATCGCCATCCTGCATCGCCACCATCATCCCCGCAAAAACTCTGATCATCAGCATCTTGTCTATTCCTACATACTGCAGCCCGTATACAACTCTAGCAATTCCTCATTGCTCCCCCAAGCCACGTCGGCACTCCTTCGCCGAAAAGCATTGAGCAACTTTTTTGGCGAGCGGCCCGATCTCTTGTCAATGACGGCTGCTCAGTTTACAGTCCTATGAAGAAAGAGATGCGGGTATTGTTTGCACGCAACAGGCTCCAGGACGGGCATGGGCCAAATTTCATATAAAGACTTGTGAGGTCGAGCTTTGGCTCTGCATAGGGTATCCTCGTGCCCAAGAAGGACCACAGAAGCGGCCCGGCTGGCTAGCTGCTTCTTTCCATTCCGAAACCCTGAGCTCTCCTCAAGTATACGGACCTTGCCCTAACCGAAACAGGCAGTAATACCGGAGGCCCGGAATACAAGGCCAAACTGGGGGCCGCCTTTCCAGTTGTAAGTTTTTGTCTGCCTTGCTCGCGGAGATTGTCATACTTGTTCGCAGAGGCGTACTAGAAGGAAGCAAATTAGAAACCTTTGCGATATCGTGATCACGAGCACAAAGAATCCAAAATGGCATCACTGGTGCAGCACAGCAAAACGATGTAACAGAATATAGCATGACGGAACACTTCGTACGGTGTGCAGTGCTAGCCGGTCACTTGCAACCATATCACAGCAGAATCAGTCAGCTGTGGTCGCACCTCGCATCCCTTTCCCTATCCTTGCCTTCCTGCGGGTCTCATTCCCAGAGCTTCACGGAACGATTTCCAGACACCCTCAGAACTGTAGACGACAATGAAAAGACGAACAGCCATGCCAATGACTGCATAAAGGGTCACACCTTCTCGAAGGGATTGTTACCAGAAAGTCTGTACCCTAAATCCTATACACCTAAACCCCCCTAAACCCCTAAACCCTAAACCCTAAACCCCTACACCCTAAACCCTAAACCCCTAAACCTTAAACCTTCCGAACGAACCCCTTCAGAGCTCCAGGTCTGAGTCGCGCCCACAGGCAAAGGCTTTCGTGCAGAACGAACGACAGGGAGCCCCTAGACCCGAAACGCTATCCTCATCAACCCTAATTAGCACATTCATAGGGTTTAGGGTTTAGGGTTTAGCTCTAACATATTCATATAGTGCATAAGGTGCGAGCCCTATGAATGATTAGATAATCGCTGCAATAGCATAGGCCCAAACCCCAGACCTTAAACTCTTGTCATAAACCCCACTACAGGAAGTCGACTATTCAGGGGACGACGGAGGCCCCGTCCAATGAGGTGCTATGTAAACCCTACACTGGGTACTGTAACGTAGGGGCCTTAATACTTAAAATAGGGTTTCGGGCTCCTCTATAGTATAATTGTAATAAGGAACCTAAGGAATAGTTATATAGGTAATTATTTAAGCTTCCGTACTAACAAATCCGTGTTCCGGACTCTGGCAAAAACTCGCCGACTAGCAGCGTAGCAGACCCGGAAACTTGACACCTTTCTGCATCCGGGCTCTTTGATGCCAGGAATCCACTAAACAGTCCTAAATAAAGAGCCCAACAGCTGAGTCACAAGTCATAGTCTAAAGTCTAAAGTACACTATAGCATACTAAACTCTAAGAAAGCTCGGCTCCCTCTCGAAGAGCCGCTTAGCAGCTGTTTCTCTGCTTGCGTGCGCGCCCCTCGTCGTGGTGGAGCCCATCTGCTTCTGACAGCCACCACCAACCACACCTCCTTTAAAGCGTAACTACTTCTTGAAAGTTGATCTCTCAATCTAGAAAACTGTATTCGCTGACACCAGGCTCTAGCAGCTGTGGAAACCGCAACTTATTGGAACAAATCATGGCGTTTGCCACTTACTCCACGTTCCGTGTAGAGGTATATGTAGATGCATATGTAGAGGTATATGTACATGTACACTCATACATGTATTGTGGATGTGTGCACACGTGCAAAACTGATGAGTGTAGATACATGTGTATATGTATAAGTATAAGTATAAGTATAAGTCTAAGTATAAGTATAAGTAAGTAAGTATGTATGTATGTATGTATGTATGTATGTATGTATGTATGTATAGTCATGTCTCTATGTTCGCAGAAACTCGTGCAAGGTAGCTGCGAATATGCACAGGCACACCGGGTGATGTCATACTTACCCACCCACCCAACTACACAATTGCATACGTGCATGCAACATTGTACATTACACAGAGTGCGTTCTCCACTATCAGTTTTCACCTGCTGCTGAATAGCAGCAGCCTAGAGAATTTCAAGGCTGAGATATCTCTTATCTGGCCTTCCTTGCCACCGGGGTACAGTAGGTGGCTTCGTAATGAGAGCCCTACTATTCCAGGGGTCCTTCGAATTCACCTTTTTGATACTCCCATCTCTGGGCAGCACTTCGCGGATAGGAGGTGCCTAAAACAGGATTGGAGCACCTTGAAAACGTGACGAGGCATCCCGGGCAGGACAAAGGCCAGCAAGCCGAAACCTGTTTAGGACGTTCCCAGGGTTGAAGTACTAGGTTGGCCCTTTGAAAACAGTGTTCTCAAGCAAGATCCTGCTGGGCTCAATGAGGGAAACATACAAAATGTCCCAAAGGCCTGCCTAGAGTATCATGTCTCGAGAACCGTAACGGAACGGTTGATCGGACAGGTATTGCAATTTGAAAGATGCGCCGAGTTTTAACAACCAACGATGCAGCCTCACGAAAGTCATTGCAGGTTTGCTAAATACTCGCTAGATGTCGCGAGCTATTGAGGACACAAGTTGACACACGTCGCAACCACGAAAGATTCTGAATCCACTGCAGCTGCACCCTTTCTAAGAAAGCCTGCGTCGCCCACATGTGGGACCGTGGCGACAAACTGAAGTTTGCCGCAAAGCTAGTTCGGCAATGCCACCCGCCGAGTACATGTCTATGGCCTTCATCCTGACACCAAAAAACATATTTCTGTCAGAGGCCGCCTGCTTGCTCAAACAGCATCCAAGAAAAACTCCAACAAATACAAAGTCCAGACAGAGGGCACGATCTCCGTCAAATGGGGACCGGCAGCTCATTTACGGCTTGAGATGGGCAGTGTAGGCTGCTTGCTGTTAAACCTCGCCAATGACAGTGCCATGCACGTGTGTGTGTGTGTGCCTCGGGGTTATGTGCTCCTGCCCACACATGACTCCCAGCATAACAATCATGGATATGTATGGAATTTAGTCGAAGTCCGGAACAAGCCGTGACAGCTCAATACAACCTTGCTGAAGCATGGCGGTCTCCGGCAGGCAAACCGGACCGGACTTCTTCAGGACTATTTTTTGTCCTGCGCTTTCGATGGTTCAGGATTGACATAAATGGAATTCCAAGACCATGAGATCCTAGCCACAGTTCACGAGACCTAAAAGGAGTTCACGAGACCTAAAACGAAAACAATTTCGACATCACAGCCTCAATCACGAGAAAGTTGCACCTTGACCTTGTCAGCAACATGGATCGTAAACCTCATGAGGTCAAGCATGGGCTGAAAGGGACACATAGCCAGTCCTTCCGCGCGAAGATTCGCTTGGCCGACACTCCATTCGGGGTCGTCAGCTCCATGACCATCTCCTTGTGCATCAGAGGATAGAACGACAGCCCGGTAACTAGAAGTACCCGAAGAAGCAAAGTTCACGGGTATAAAGACTCTTCATTGCATCATAGGGCTGCTTTGATGATGTATCTTATGCACTGAATCCCAAAGAAAGGAAGTATATGGAACTACGATGTGGACCGCAGATTCTTTTGTTCCATGGCGACAGGCTACCCTATGAAGCAAAGGCTCAACAACAACCACTCCTACTGCCTACACAGTATAAACCCTCATAGAAACACTTATAGAACCCTTTAGAAGACCTTATTACAGAAGCCCTTGTAGGACCTTAGGACCCTTGCATGGTCTGCTCCAAATCCCCGAGAACGCTTAGGTGCAGCGTGGCAATCGAGCCTTCGAGAACCTGAACCCTTATGCAGATCACCCTGCAACCGAGCTCTAACCGTAGCACAGCCGTTTCGGCTACCGTAGCCACGGCATGGGGGGGTGCATAAGCATGCCAGGTATAGAAGGCCTAGGGTTCGGATGTGCGGGGTTTCATGTTAGATACGCCCTCACAACTCGGAGCTTGTCCGATGTTTCCTGCTGATAAGGGGTCTTGATAGTGAAGATCGCATGATGTGGCCTTCGCGTGTTGGCTTTCGATCTTGTCGAAATCTGTTAATTTATATCATGCCACTGCCACGCTGTGCTAAAACAGCGACAGTCTCGCAGTTTGAGTGGCAAACTGAGCGCTCGAATCCAACTAATCTTCGAAGCAAGGGCGAAGCAGAACATGATATTCGGACTTTCCATAAACGCACTGGGACCTCTGATGTATCTACTGTCGCCGTCCTGTTTTGCTTGTTTCGAGGTTGGAGTCGCAATCGGATAAAGAACACACCAAAGAGGCACAACCCACGGTTTAGGGTTTTGTTTAAGGTTCAGGGTTTAGGTTTTAGGGTTTCAAGTCCTCACCACGGAGGAAGCGACGGGCTGTGGGCAAAGCAGCGCCCGCAGCGCTCCTGCGAGGCCGAAAGAGTACATCCTGCACCTGCAACCATGAACCGCATAGTCCTTCCTAGCCCCTGCATCCTACATGATGATCCCATCAGCCCTGTAAGACCCGAATCTACATGCGAACCTGGTCGTAACAGACCAGATTTGGCCTGTAGCTCATCATTCAGGGTTCCGGGCGTAACGTAGGGTCCTATGGTTCCTTGATGTTGTATTTTTCAACATTCAGACAGGATCTATAAGGTCTTTTGTGCATCAACACTGGCCCCGAGATGTGATTTCAGCTTCAGCTTAAAGATTCCACGTCAACTCCCACAAAAAGCAGACTGCAAGAGACATGATTTCTCCGTGCCATGTGAGATGGGAGTCGGTGCACATGAGCCCCAATGCCTAAGAAAAGGGAGTGCAGGAGCTCTTCTGGGCGAACCGGCCGTCACAACAAACAGCAACTTGTCATCTGCTGCAGTCCCGCAGGCCCATCAGACACACAGGTTCAGTCTGAGGCATCCATGAGCTCTCGCTAGGTCACCAGGAGGTGGAACGACTACTTCGGGCAACAACTCTTGTCAAGGGTTTCCGATGCGTGCAAGTATACTTGGCCTACCTTTCCTCTACTGATGCCGGCTCGCAGGCAGCACCTTATGGCCATGACAAGGGCGTCGCCGTCCCACTGCGGTTGGATCTTGACAGGCTTGTCCTGCCGTGGCTTTGTGACTCGCTTGCCCTATCAAGGCGGTGTGTGAAGCCAAAAGCCTGGAGCCCTGTGTTCGGGTTCCACCATGACGTCCACAGCTTAGCACCATGCTTCAACTTGGGCTGGCGCTCTCTCTGCCCTCTCTGTCTCTGTCTCTCTCTCGCTCTCTCCCTCTCTCTCTCTGTCTCTCTGTGCTTCTCCTACCACCCTCAGCAAGCTCTGAGCTTCGGCATCGCTTGCAATGGCTGCATCCTGGTTGTCCGAGGAGAAGAAAAACAAAGCTGTCCGATTTACTCCTATTTGTAAACAGGCCGCGGCCACAAGCATGGTACGCTTGCACGGCGCTGATTCCAACATTGAACTGGATCTTTGGCGCTAACTATAAATAGCCTACAAACAGAAACTGCACTCGACACAAAACTTGCTGCGATGAAGTTCTGCATCAGATTTACCAGCTACCAAGCAGCTATAGTATGTCTATGTACTGCGTGTGCCAGACCGTTCAGGGTTCGGGGCCTGCCAACTTGCAAAGCCTTTCAGTGGAAGCACTCAAAAAGGGCTTCCGGGAGCTGGTACACTGTGCTATATACATATATATATATATATATATGTATATATATATATATATGTATATAGAGTACTGCCCCCTGCAATAAGGCTACTATTCAAAGTTCAGGGCCTTATATATCTACACTACTCAACTGTTACTGAGTGGGGGCAGCATCCAAGCTATCGATGAAGCACTCTGCCGGTGCAGCGAACACCCTGAATGTACCCGCGGTCACAGAGCCTGAGCTAAACCCAAACCTTGTCCCCCTTCATGTCTATGATCTACTAAAGAGCCGTCCAAAGCCGGGATGGCTGAGTTTGCTGTAACTTCGAGGTCGCTGTCAGGTCTTCCGAGAAGCGCTGAAGATCCCGAAATGGGTCGCAGATCAGAACGGCGCCGTCTATGGAGGCTTCCATGACATCTTTCGACGTCTCCCCATCCCCACATCCAAAAACCTGCAATTTACCCCACTGCACTACACCCTGAACCCTATAACTCCCTCATGGTAAGCCTCAGCAGCCCACCGCTCTTGGCATGCCAAGGCATGGGTTGCATAAATGTGCACTTTCATTGTCATATGTATAAGGACTGTATGAGGAGATTTCATTACTACCACGATATTAAAACCTGAACATACCCCACGTAGTAACCGTAAACTCAACCTTACACCCTAAATAAGCCCTTCAATCAATCTTTCACGCCTCAACCCAATGCCCCTCTTTGCTACTGGCCTCAGGTGGTCTGGCTAACCCCTCAAAACCGAACCCCAAACTCCTTTTTGCGTCACTCCTACACCCCGAAACCCCAAACCCCCAGAGTCCTAAACCCCTACCTAAACCCTCAAGCCTAAACTCCTAAACCCCAAGCCAAATCAGAGGCGGACCTCCAGGGGATCCCGTGAATCCTTGCAGAGGGCTGAAGCCGCAAGCGGTACGGTACGTCGGGGGGGGGGGGGGGGGGG